CATTCGAATCGATAAATTTTTGCCATATTTGTGGTAATTTTTCAATATCTAATTTTTCAAAGGAATATTTTAAATATTCATTCCAGTCTCGGATAAAAACGTTGTAAAAAGCGATCTTTACCATTTCCTTCGCGATTCCGACCAATTGTAACATTTCAGACAGTGTCAATGACATAACAGACGGATACTTCACCACTGAAACTTTGTCAATAATATTTCCGCATGTATCGCGGCGCGCATGTTTTGCATTCACCAATTAAAATCACTTCATCTACAGAAAATCTGTTCCACCGTGGTCAGCGTACGACAAATCAGTGGTGCGTGCCCGGTACTTGAATTTTAACGCCACGCGAGGAGCATTTCGAACATACGCAGGCAGATGGGCGGAGGGGTGGGGGGAGTGGGCGGATTTTAATTATTTTGGTTTACGGGACGAGGCCGAGGTCGGCCCCGTTGTTGCTTTCGCTTCGTGAACGTAGGGACCAGCGGAGATAATTAAATATGGATTATCCGTATTTAAGCACTCGCTGGGGCGCTAATTGGGGTAGAAAGAAGACAGTTATTGCGCGATGGACGCGGACCACAATGGAGTAAATCCGGGTGAGATGCTCCGCCGGCAGAGCCTGCGAAAGTTACTGCATTTCAAAAAATATACGTAACAATGCGTTATAATCCCACTCGTTCCTTCATTTCGAACGAGACAATTTAGCGAATACTGTGATTTTGTTGTGTTCCGAGTTGTTTTTTATACAGGGTGAATCAATAAGGACTACTATCTAAAATAACTCGTTATCTATTGATTGTATCCGAAAACGTTTTAATGAATTATGTAGTATTTTAAGGGACGCATCAGATGGATACAATTTGATTTTTTTATATATTCTCTTTTTTAGATGTCATGGTGACCTTAAGTTTTTTCAAGGTCAATGCATCTTTTTTTTTTTAATACCGTCATACTATAGGTCGTTGAATTCGTGCTTCTATGGGCAACAACGTAGTATGTAACGTAGTAACATTTTTAATATCCATTTTATTTAGAACAGTCCAACTGTCCCGAATTTACCCCATCTCGTGGCAACCGAAGCCACAGAAATAGTGGACCCTAAGCGAAGTAAATTGGGAACGATCGATGACCGGTTCCTAACGATCTCTCCCATTTCTCACTTTTTCTTTTCGTCCGGGGTTCAACTCGGTTTCCGGGTTTCTTGGTCGAGTCGTAAGACGCAACAAGTGTTGAAAGGATTACATTTCGCGGGGTACAAACGAGATCAACGTGCCTGGATAGTTCTTCGTCTGGTTAATTAATTAACGAGGCAGCGTGACGTGTTCCTTGGGATCGTGATTTCTTTGTTGTTTCTTGGGTAGGTCATGAAGTTACGTTAAACGCGCTTAATTGTACCTACGGCGGATTTATTACAGGTTTATCTTGATGAGGGTCTTTACATTTTACCGTGATTTTATCCGTGTTATGACTGGCACGATATTTAGTTCTGAACTGTATACTTACAATTAATCTTTAAAGTTAAGATATTAAATAATAGATACTTGATGATGGTTAATAGTACAACTAATGCGAAAAGTCTTGGCTTGTGCACTTTCTGTTTCATTTAGAAATTCAGGACGACGTGACCTACCAATGGGTTACACTATTATTTTCTCATTTTCCACCGAAAACGGAATACGGTTTGTCCTAAAAGTTTCCGAATTGTAGCTAAAACAATAATTTTTCGTATGATATTCACGATTTTTATCAACAATTATCGCAAGCATGTTTCTTTTGAAATACAGTGAAATATAAAAAATATTAGGTTAGAATTGTGATGAAAGTGTAGATTTTACGAGGACGATCAACATTATCCTGAAATATATCAGAAATGAAAGTAAAAGACAACATAAATGCTTTTTGGCTCTCTTATATCAAGTTATTTAGTGAGTATAAAAGTAGTAAGGTGCATTTGTCCTAAAACTTACCGTTGCTGAGATATTTGACTGTTTTTATTCTTTACTTCCATCATGGAACGTATTCTAGGATACGCTGACATTTCGAACATGCTGCATGAAAAAAGTCAAATATCTCAGCAACGATAAGTTATAGGACAAACTCAGAATACGTCAATCTATCGAAATCGAGCATAAAAAATTGGGCATTCCATTTGAAAAAACAAAGGTGACCCCTATATCTTCTCTACACCTCCACTTGCAAGAATACCATTTATACTTTATTATGTAGTTTCTTAAACCCTACAACTTTTGTAAGTAACATTTTCTCGTATTCTTTGAAATAACCAAGATATTTAAGTGGACAGAGTTCATGAGACACACTGTATAATACAAGAATGTAATATATTATATTATATACAAGAATATATATTTATATAACGTAAAGAATAATTTGGTTAAAAAATCTAAAAAATAAAGTAATATTACCTTGAATTTCGCGACAGTGAGCAACATGAACCTCAATATCAATATGTTTTTCTAATGTTCTGGATTTTTAACTAACAATAAGCTAATAACTGATCCGTTGTCATAATTAGTCTATATATTTTGTCTGCGAATATTTTAAACCAGCCAACCCATTTTCCTAGACACAGCAATCAGAATGTTCGCTGTTGGGATAACCCGACGTCACCGGTTTTTTCACGTTCACTACCGTCACGGTCTCTACGTACAGGTTTCCCTCTGTTGATAAAACTGAAAACACCGAGGATAAATATTTTCGTGCATGTATCAATAGTAGCAGTATAGTTTTGATCATCCAGAAAAACTTTCGTTGTTTGTACAGCCTGGCGCGTGTGTATTTGTGCGTCAGAATCGTGTTTACTTATACTGCCCAACTGTTGGTGATATCTAAATTAAAGTTCGAACCGTAGAATAAAAATGATCTCTGGTTTTAACTCTTTCGTTGACAGAACATTCTGAAATGTTATAATTTGAAATTTGGTCGAAATGTAATTAGATAAAAGGTTCTGTTCCGTCGTAGACCGAAACGACGGTTATACAATCAGACGATACCGTTACTTTTTATTATTTTATTCCTTCTTTCAGTCAATTTATATATTTTCAAGACCGACCCTTTGCAATTTCAATTTCGTTAACACAAAGAGAATAATATACAAAGAAGCGAACATTATGGTCTGCAGTCCGCCACATGCGCTCGGTAACCTGGGACCCATCCGCGCCGGGCCTTACCGGGGCGCGCTGACTCGCAGACAATATAATCATAAAACCCTACCGTTGAGAGACTCGAAAATTCGTCGCGGTCAACTCGCACCGCGACCACGTGCGCGATATTTTCCTGACGTCCGCTTCGCCCTGAAGGAGAGGTATTCCACCTCCGCGTCGCGTGGAAAACCCGAGAAATTTGCCTTCCCCTTCAGGGCATCACCAATAAGGAGGCGAGTTTTGGTCACGCCTTCATCAAACTTTGAGGAAGCGCGACGTCACACGAAACTCGAACAGACAGTCGAAAAGATACATACAGTCGAAAAGATACATACAGTCGAAAAGATACATTCAGTCGAAAACATTCAATAGAAAACACTCGTTCGCAAACACTCGTTCGCAAAACATACTCGTTACGACTAGAGTCACACGGACTCAATTCATTCGCATTAACTCGCAATCGAACAATCATTCGACAACATTCGCATCACGATTCGTCAGCTCCAACGGTCGAGCAATTATTCGTTTTTCTCACTAGAGAAATTGAAACAGTTGCCTAATATTAATTTGGCGGGCAACAGTCGCAACCGGACGCGTACCACGACGGTCGAGCCTGGAATTTACAACTCCAGGCGGATTCGAAAGAGAAATCCACGCGGACGGACGCGACAGGTTCACTCACATTTGGTAGCAATATTGAAAATAAATTCCAAAATATTAAATAAAAGTGATCTCGATCTTTAACTTTTTCAATTTTGTAATTTTGGCAATTTCAATTCTGATCGAAGCTTAGTGAAGAGATTCACGTATATTGTTAGCGATATTTAAAGTAACGTGCAAACCGCAAATTAAAAATGGCCACGAACTTTAACTCTTTTAGTGACAGAGCATTTTGAAATTTTGCAGCTTGAAGCTTGGTCGAAGCTTAGTTGGGTAGGAACTACGTTTAAATTCGGTGTTTACTCAGTTTAGCAATAACGAGCTTTAACGTGTTATTCGAAGTCACGTTAAAAGTTAGGGCCGGAAACCGCACGCTTATATCTTCTTACTTTATAAAGCTTAGTTTATGGAACACTTTAAAAAATTCTGTTCCAACGCCTTAAAGGTAGATTAGAGTTTGCGAGACCTTTTAAGAAATTCTGTTTTCATAGTATTTTCCTGAAGTTCCCCTCTTCTGTATTAAGAGTAGATTAAGGTGCGTGATGGATGGAATTCATAATAAACAATATTGCGTTGTTGGATCAGCGGATATTGTGTTATTACAAATATATTAGTAATTTCAGGTATCTTAAAAAAATTCTTCAACATTTTTTTTTCACGAATTTTTTTAAACGTGATGAAACTTTCAATGCTAATCTTTAACCATGGAAATATGATCTAAAATGTTCAAACATCATCTTACAATATTTTGCAAATTAAGTTAACAAATAGTTTTTAAACAACAGCTGATTGAATATTGGCTTGGGTCAAATTGACCCAGTGTGGCAACTACGATCGAAAAAATAGGTGTTAAAGAAGATATATATCTCAGTGCAAAAGAGTGGTACAAAATGTGAAATACGTTGCTTATTAATTTTTTGACAAATAAAATTTTCAGTTACTTTAAAATCGTTCATTTTTTCTTAAAATGATCCCGTCTCTTCTAATTCGCATAGTAAATCGAAACATTTGGCCGGTAATATATATCCAGTAGTTGGTTTTCTAAAATTAGTATTATTTCTCAGAATGGACGGTTACGTTTGGGACATCCTGTATAACAGCTAATCACAGCGTGGCTGTAACATTTTCGAGTCTAACCACCGCGTCTAATGTGTATCGTTCCTTTTGTTTTCCAGGCAGACTTGTCTTGCAAAAACACGGAGCAGACCGTGGGCGCGATTTATACTCGCACGAACTTTGTGACACTGAAATACGTCACCGACTCCTGGGGCACTAAAGGAAATGGTTTCCGTCTCGTTATCACCGCCGTCAAGGATCCTAGTGAGTACTTTTTTCTATGTGATAATTCCTCCTTTCTTTGTAAATCTTGCCCTATCTTGCCTTAGCTTTGCACCAAATTTGTGAATTAATTCTGACATTTTTCCTAGAAATGTTGTTCTTAAGAACGTGACTAACACTTTTAGTCAATATTTTTAGCTTGTCAAGCACGTCGTTACTTTTTGGGAAAACAGAATTTGCGTGAGTAAATATAATTGACGGAAATTTGATTGGAACGCTAATGTAATGCCGTAATTAGACACAATAATTTTGAAATGAATCTATAAAAATATTTGTTATTTGTTTAATAGAGTTCACGTTCGTATGACAACTTAACTCGTCATAAATTAATAGAGCGTACAGTTTATATCGTACATAAGAAAACCCTAGATACATAAAACAAACTTGGCTCTGATTTATAATGTTGCACAGTAATTTGTGAAAATGATAATTCGTTTATTTTTTGTTCATTAAAATGTAGCGGGAGAGTAAAAATATACCGGAGAATAAGATAACAGTGTCACGAATTACGGATTTTCGGTAGAAAAAAGGCTTTTTTAAAGTATTTGCGAATATTACGATGCAAATGAGCTGGTAAGAAGTTTTAGCTCCAAGAGACTTTCTGGAAGAAAGTAGAGCGTCCGTTCTTTCTCTCCTTAATTCGAGAAAGCCTCTCTTTTGAGAATGTTCTGCCCGAGTTGATTGCGCTTAATGAAGTGGTTAATACTCTGTGATTAAAACAGGACTTCGTGAATAAGAAGGAAAGAAAAATGGCGTTGTAGAATATTTTCCATTCTTTCTTCATTACTGAAGAGATACTTATTTTTTTTGTTACTGCAACCTGCGGCGAAGAAAATGTGGAAATTCGGTGATTTCAGGAGTGATGTTTTAATCACTTCAATTATTTTTGTAACGATAGCAGATATTGATTAAACTGTAAATCAATAACTTTTCCTAAATTAAATCATAGACGTACAGAAACCTCCATATGCTATGACATGTACGATTCACGTACACATATACACCAACATATAAATTTCAACATTGAAATATTACATTACTTATTTATTACTATTCCTATTCAATTTTCCACCTTATTGAAATCTAAGCAAATGTTTAAAAAATTGTTCTGGTTATATATATTTATTACATTACTTGTATAAAACAGCGAAGTATTCAAGATAATGCATCATTCGAAGTGATAATACGGTCTTTTGCAACAATAAATTGAAAATTACTTTCTGAATTAATAGTTCGGTTACGAAAAGATCAGATTTGAAAATTGGGAACATATGCTAATACATCTGTTCGGTGGCGCACGTCTGACCATTACTCACCGGTTCTACTTATTCTCACAATCAGACTAATAAGTACCTACTCTGTATGTCTATTCAAGTGTCCATATCTTTAAAGACTAATTTATAGAAATTGGAAACAAACGTACTAAACAAAATTGTGTATAACAATTTGACCGTAATAATTCTTAGAATATCAATTTCTATAGCATTCTTCCGGTACTAATTAACGAAGGATATTAACACTAGAACTACCAAACAAGTTAAAATGTCTTGTCAGTACGCTCTTATAACGATGATTAAAATGTTACAACAGTACATTTTCTCAGGTCTCTTGCACCAGTTATTACGACACGAAAGTGAAGACACTATATTTTTAAATTTGCAAATTTTCAAAAATTTGTCGTATTCATCGACCGATCCAAACAGATATATACGTTTATTATCGGTAGTTCTAGTGTTAATACAGAAAATGCTAACAAACTTGATCTTCGAAGAATTATCACGTTCAATGTTTCATAACATTGTCCAGTACTGTACGTACATTGAATAACATTTATTCACAATAAATTTCAACGTACGATTGCGTCGAAAGTAACGCATTGAATTTGAAGCGCTGACGAGATCAAAAACGCCACAGTGGACGGTTTCGTATTAAAAGAGCCAATTAAATGGGCCTCGGACAAATTATATCGAATAAATAAAGCACAGGTACTAGAATCGAGCAGTTCGGGACGGGAATAAATGAAACAGTAAATTAACAACGTTCCCTATTAACGGTCCTAAAATTACCGGTTCTCGTTATTTCGCGTAGCAGCTCTCTCAATGCTGCTCGGTAATATTAAATTAACAGCGACGCCAAGGCGAAAGATAATACTGTCATCCGGCCGTGTAAAATTCGCCTCTCTGCTGCTCTTCCGTCGTATCGCTCCTGGAAACGGTAAGATCCCTGTCCGGGAAATCCTGGTGAAATTCTGACGCTGAGGCTCGCGATAAATTAAACGCGACGTTTCGCTTCCGGCTCGAATTTTCCCTGCCCGTAGGGGTGGGGATGAGATCGTTGTGGAAGGGGTTGAAACGCGTGAGACGAGGACCACTGTCTGGCCAACAGATTCGCCACCTCGTTTTCCCTACTTTCCCCTCGATACTCATTTCCGCCGACTATTAAACCTATTAAAGAAGTTCTTTATTTCATCGGTGTTTCGACTCGACAACAATCCCCCCTATCGACGTTTCCGTCGAACAAGTTCGCCCGCCGCGCACGGAATTCCCGCTGAAAATTGACAAATAAAAACGGTTCCGGCAATTTCATTCAACGTGCACGCCGAAGAATGGTTAAATTAATTGGAATCGTTGGTCGTGGTAATACGAGTTGACTCGAGTAATTTGTAATTTATTATGGTATTTGAAAGAATTATTGGACGTTCTATACGTTGGAACAGTTCAGGTGTTTAACCCTCAGAAACTACACCCTACTTTAAAATACCACACTAGTGATAATTGGGATGTTGAATCCTTGATGATTAGGAACTTCAAGAGAATAAAAACAAATTCAACTCGTAACATATTTTGTAGGGGAAAATTTCGTTAGAAATTCCGCCATAATAATTGGAAAATTGAGAAATTATAAATCCATGAAACATTATAAATAATGAAATGTGTGCAAAGTTCTATACAATTCATGTCGCCCCAAGGCTCTGCATTATAGCTACATAAAGCTCGGTATAACTGAATTTGTATTTGTAGTAATCGGTGCACAATGAAAATGGGAACCATTTCGAGTGATTAATTTCGAAAATCAGACATATGAAACAGGTCAGGGTAGGAGGAGGGTAATAGCATCGATGGACAAACAAACATTTTGACGAGGGAAATTAGAGTCGGAGAAATTTAAATAGCCATTAGCCATCGATCTGGAAACAGCGAAACGGTATTCTCGTTTGGTACAATGCGATGCTTTGTACGGCTGGCCGGTGTGTGCAATTCGAGAAATTCCGAACTGTCCGGGATCACGAAAGCTTCTTGCCCAGACATGACTGGATGTGTTTCAGGGCGAGCAAGGAATTGTTGCAGGCAATATTAGCGCGATCCAACGTGAGACGTTTTGCGGGCTGAATTGCGATGGAATGTTGCGTGGAACGACGTACTGTTGATCATAAATATTTCCGGAACATATAAGTGATTTCAGATGAAGGATTGACATTTCTATTGCCAATTATATATCGGTCACATAACTATTATTACTTCACAATTGAACACTGAACTTTATAGTATAACACTAAATAAACCAAATTTAATTGGCACTTATAAAGATTACGAGAATAATTACTGTAATAAATGTAGCAAAAGAAACTCAACGTTATAACTGGCTTAATAATTTACATTTTTCTCAAGAGTTTTTTCTTTTAAACAGTAATAAGACACTACTCGAGACTACTAAAAATGAATTGAAATACAAGGTGTCTCAAAATAAGTGTAAGTCTTTGAAAGGGGTGATTCTTGAAGTGTTTTGAAACCACACAAGGCTTTGTTAACGAGATATTAACGAAAAACCTCGACCATTCAGGCAAGTCCTATTTAATTACACGCGTATCCAGGAGATTTTCAAAGTCGATTTTCTCAAAAACGAAGTCTTAAATGAAAAAATTGTATTTCATATTTTCGATTTATTTTTTTTCACGTAGAATCAGCTCCTACATGTTTGTACCACCAGTTAGATGACACCCTATATAGGTATACATTGCGTAGGATAACTATAAAACCACCCTAAAATGTTTAATTCTTATGTATTGTTGTGGTTAAAATAAAAACGAACCAAGTATGCCATGTCTGAAATCGCGTTGAGAAATAACGTTTCTCCAAAAAATGTAGACTATATTTTCTAGAAACAGTGGTTCTTTTTTATTTTAACCACAATAAATAAGAATTGAAAACCTTAGGGTGGTTTTATAGTTACGTCATGCAGTGTATTGAATTACTGCAGCCAACAAACTGTTTCATGCGTGAGTGTTTCCACAGATATCTGAAACAAGTGCATTTTCAAGTTCCGCTAAAGAAATCAATCTCGGAGATCCTGTTGCAGATCGGATATCGATTTTCTATATTTCACGTAAAGCTTTTCATACGATCCCTATAAAGCACCGCATTAATGGGGTAATTTGTTACTCGTCACACGGAAACCCCCGTGGTTCTTCTCAGTCTTTTCGACGCGTCCTATTCAAACTACCAGCGGAAGTTAGAGTCAATGCCGTTAGAAAATCTCGCTGGTGAAACTAAACTGTTAACCACTTTGACCCGAAAATTACAGTGCTCCGTTAATTGCGTTCTATTTTACATGCAGATGAAGCATAGGACAGGGAATATAGGTAAACTTCGATGGTTGTTTGCCTCTGACGATGAGTTTTGCTTGAGTTCGAGCCTGGCTGTCAGCTTTTCAAGCCGTGGCATGCACGGTATTTTACATTTCACTCGTACGAATCAGTTTACACGTCCTCTTCCTTTGGATCAAATTGATATTCAAAGGTACAATCATCTGGTGAATATTTTATATTAAATAGAGACACTTTGGGTATGTTGGGTTCCTTGGAAATGAAGTTCAATACTTTGAAACATAGACTTCATTCTACATTAAGTTTATCTTATATTGTGATATTTATGTTCAAAATCGTTGTCGGTAAATGAATTGAAAACTGAGTGATTTTAAAGGGA